GGAGTTCCAGAGGATGTGTGGAGTGCTGTTGCACTGCAGTGTCACTCCTGGGTTTCCCCATCCGGAACTAAAACATGTTCATGACTGTGGAAAGGCTTCTCTTGATGACAGTTGATTTTGGATATTAATTTAACCCAACTTCCATTGAGTGAACACATAGGTTAAAGTGAAGTATGAGAAATTAATTTATACATTATTGGGGGTTGGAGGTGGGAGGGGTTGTGCTATTTGTAACAGGAAAAATGGAAACTGAAAAACTCCAGGGGAAAATTGCATTTAAATCTTTTTCATATAACCGGTTTCTGAAAAGTGACATTGTGCATGCTGGAAGTTCCCAAAGAATCATAGAATGGTTTGGGTTGGAAAGGACCATAAGATCATCTATTTTCAATCCCCCTGCCATGGGCAGGGATGCCTCACACTAGCCCATGCCACCCAAGCCTCTTTCCAACCTGGCCTTGAACACTGCCAGGAATGGAACATTCACAACTTCTTTGGGCAACCCATTCCAGTGCCTCACCACCCTCACAGTAAAGCACTTCTTCCTTAGGTGTAACCTGAACTTCCCTTATTTAAGTGTGAACCCATTACCCCTTGTCTTATTGCTACAGTCCCTGATGAAGAGTCCCTCTCTGGCATCCTTGTAGGCCCCCTTCAGATATTGGAAGGCTGCTATGAGGTGTCCACACAGCCTTCTCCAGGCTGAACAGCCCCAACTTTCTCAGCCTGTCTTCATAAGGGAGGTGCTCCAGCCCCCTTACCATCCTCGTGGCCCTCCTCTGGACTTGTTCCAACAGCTCCATGTCCTTTTTATGTTGAAGACACCAGAACTGGACACAATACTCCAAGTGAGGTCTCACAAGAGCAGAGTAGAGGGGCAGGATCACCTCCTTCGACCTGCTGGTCATGCTCCTTTTGATGCAGTCCAGGACAAGGTTGGCTCTCTGGGCTGCAAGTGCACGCTGCAAGTGCAAACTCATGTTGAGTTTCTCATCAACCACCACCCCCAAGTCCTTCTCCGCAGGGC